TTTTTTCCAATAATCGCTTGCCACTGCACCACCTTCCTTCGCCGCAACACCACCGATCCTTGCTGTTGCACCACCATCGTCCCTTGTTTCCGTGCCACGCTTACCATCAGCAACCTTAATTCCACCATCTTTTGAAAGAAGGGGAAAAAAGTAGCCTTCAAACTCGATCCATTGCCAAAGTAGTACGCCAATCGTTGTTCACCATAGCCAACCATCCTTCGACCTCACCTAGCCGCCATGAACCATCCCAAATACCGCCTGAAAAAGCGAGATGTCGAAAGAGAGAGAAAGACTCCCCTACAGCGGCCGTAACAGCAAGCAGCCCTAGAGAGGGAAAAAGCCCACCAAAAAGTAAAGCTTATATGAGAAGAAAAAGAGCAGTGCACCACCATATTACCGTCGCGAAAAACAAAACTTTCACAAAGGGAAGAATAGAGACTTTGTAAACCCTAAACTTCTGTTTGGATAAAAATTAGTGAAAGAAAAAAGGAAGGGAAGAAAAAAGAAAAAAAAAAAAGGTGAAGGTAAATAAATTTGTTTGGATAAATGAAAATGGAGGGAAAAGTATAATATTTTTGTTTAATTAAATAATTTAAAAAAAATAAAATAAAAAAGAATAAAATTTTTAAAATTTTTTAATTAAATAAATAATTCCAATAAAATATTTATATATATTTAGTTTTAAAAAATTAAAAAAATATATAAATTAAGTAATGCACTGTCCCAATTCCCCCATATCAGAGGAATTGAAAACAAAGGAAGGAAGAGAACTCCGTCTCCCTCCCCTCTACTAAAATTATTAATCCAAACAATCAAAGGTGCTTTCTTCCTCTCACTCTCTTTTTCATCGTTTCAATTTTCTCAATCCAAACAAAGTGTAAAGGAGGTCACTAGTCATGCATTAAAAATGTTAATTTAATTTTAACATTAATGCCACATGTATTAATTTAGTGCATTGATTGATACAGACTTTAATTTGATATATTATACAATACACTTATAAAAAAATTATTATTTTCTGGTATAAAATTAAAGGTAAACAAATTTAAGGGTGCAGTCGTGCATATAGAATGTAAAAATTAAGGAAAATGATATGTGCACACCCGGATGTTGAACCCGGATGTTGAATCCGGATGTGCACCAATCATGGTCCAAAAATTAACTAAATCGACTATACTTATATTATATTTTAATAGTTGAATCGAAACGAATGTAAAAATGTATTGAATCAAATATATATTAATCATTTTCTATTAATTTAATTGGTTAGTTGTTAGAATTAAAGTTAAGTTTTATTTTTTCTATGTGACTTAATAGCTAAAAAGTGCATTAAATGCACTCTTAACCTAAAAAAACAACTCATTTATTTGATTAAGATGAGTTGTTCTTGCACCAACTTATGCATATTTGAAAGTATAGAAATATTTTCCCCGGGCAATCTTAGGGAGAAACCTACATCCCAAAATTTGTCTTAAATTAAGTATGTTTTTTTTCTAATTTTAAAGTAAATAAATATTTTTTCAGTTTTAACTTATTTTTATCGCTTAATTTTAGTTCTCTACCATATTAATAAAGTTTTCTTTTTATATCCCATACTCTTTTTTTCTTAAGGGTAATATAAAAAAAATAAATTAATTAAAATTTTTAATTGATACTCCCTCCATTCAACTTTAATAGATCTAATTTCTTATTTGGGATATTCAAATTTGGTTGTCCACATTTTTAAAAAAAATATCATTTAATATGTTTATTCCGATTTTACCTTCGTTTTAAAAAATAATTACAATATATGAAATTTTATCAATAAATTATTATTCCCCTCATTCATTTTTAGTAAATCTAATTTCTTTTTTGTGGCATTCAAATTTAATTGTCCACTTTTCCTTTTTAAGTTATCATTTAATGCATTTATTTTTATTTTACCTTCATTTTAAAAAAATAATTATAGCATATATTAAATAAGAAATTTTATTTAAATAGTATTTAATTAAAGATAAATATAAAATTTTATCAATAAGTTATTACATCTTTTTTTTATTAGACAAAAAAACTAAATTTACTAAAAATGAATGAAAAGGAGAAAAAATAGTAAAAATCAATTTTTAAAAGAAATAATAAAAAGTAAGAAACCTATAAGTTTTTTTATTAATATTCTTTAAATCATTATATCAAATATTGGAAATATTGGAAAATAATATTAGATAAATAAACAAATAGAATTATAGGGTCAGGATATTACTCCAAGTCAAGGCACATCTTGTGAGGGGAGTGGGGCACACTATTAAAGGGCGGTGGATAAGGTGGTTGTTACTTGTTAGTAAATTCCAACAATAAAATTGGACAAGCATTAAAGAAAAGTTTATATCAGATTTGAAAAGAAAGCATTATCCATTCAACATAACAATAACAGAAGAAAGAACGTAAAATTGGAAATGTTATTGAAAATTTATAATTATAATGTATTATTATATAATTTTTTATTTTGAAGTTTTTTTTGTAATATTATATATAGTTGCTTATTTCATGATTATGACCTTACAATGCTATCTATGGTAGTGTGAGTACATAACTGCCAAAAAAAAAAAAAACTCCCTCTATCCAATTTTATATGTCTTAATTAGACTTTTTAACTTTTTAAACATTAGTTTCATATAGTAAAATTTTAACAGAACATATAAATAACAATACAAATTTCTTTTTTTATATGTAGTTTTTCTTGAATATTTTCATTCAATAAAAAAATTTTAATTGTAATTTATATATTATATTAAATTTTCATCTAAAATTATTATTTAAAAAATCTAAGAGTTAAAATAGAATAACTAAAGTTAGAATGAAAGTAGTAGTTCTTGTTTTAATCTTCCAAAATAGTATTCTTTTTTCAATGAAAAATAGTATTTTTTTTTAACATTAACACATATAGGATTTTCTTACACATATATTTTATAAAAAAATCATAGTTATTCATTTTTTAACATGATTGGTTGAGATTCGTCATAATTTTTTATTTGAAAAGACAATTAATTTTTTTTAAAAAAGATTAAAAGTAAATAAATTTAAACTATTATTATAAAGATGAACTGCCAAAATTTTATAAGCCAAATTTCCTATTTGCACTTACACTTTTTTTTTTCTTTTTAGGGACAATACCCTAGACTAATTTTCATCCTAGTCAACACCCTCCATAATTTAAAACCCGTAAAAAAACCCTAAATTACCAACAAAGTCATGGTGCAAATAAGGCATTTGACCATAGATTCAAGGCACAAATAGAGGGTTTGACTATTAATTTTTGAGTTTTTCACGAGTTTTGAATAGGAGAGAGTGTTGACTAAGACGAAAATTAATTTAGAGTGTTGACCACAAAAAGAAAAAATGTGTTGGGTGCAAATAAGGCTTTTCACCAATTTTATATAAGTATTATGAGTAAATTATCCTAAATCAAGAAATATATGCTCAAGAAATGGTAATATATGTAAATACCATGTTAAATGGGTTTCCTTCTTTGAATGGGAAAGGCGAGATATTTTCAAACATTTCAAATTCATTTCAAATGGGCCGACTTCCTTGAGCTATTGAGTGGACTTGCAACATGTGCTTGCGTATGCTGTTTTGGATAAGGAGGATGATCTGTTGGGGTTAGGCCCAATAGCGGATAGTACTTTGTTCTGATATGGAAGCTGGGGATGAACTGGGCTGGGCTGCATGCTTTAAAATAATATTAATAGCAAATGCTTGCACCACAATATAGAAGAAAAAAAAAAAAAGAAGGGTACTAGATAAAAATGAATTTGCTTTATCAAA